GCATCAGCAAACAGCAGGAACAGTCTACAAACATCCACAGTGGTTCAATTGTCTGCTGTGATTACTCAGTCCAATATATATCAGTCCACAAAAATGTACACTGTGACACTAGGTGGCTTTGTTTGGATTGAATTCTTTCAAAAATACACCAAACATCCAGTGATAAAAACTGTACAATTGCAGATGACTGACGAGTGTAACTGTCAGATTTGTAAGGTGTCTTTTATGTTTTTTACAGTATTGTGTTTATAATCATATTCCTTCGACTGCTCCCTTTAGGGGACTCCACAGTGCATCATCTGCCTCTTTCTATAGCGTCCTCCTCTGTCACACCAACCCTCTGCATGTCCTCCTTCTCTACATCCACGAACCACCTCTGAAGTCTTCCTCTTTTCCTCCTTTTCCACAGTTAAGCTGCATTATTGAAGAATGTGACAAATAGTTTAAAATGCCTTTGTTATTAGTTTTTGACATTTTCCATTAAACGATTCTCACAGTTAACTTAATATCTCAGTGTTTCTTGGTTTTAAACTACTCAGTCAATTTTTTTCCCCTTGTGACTCAGAAATTAGTCACCAGGAACATCCCTACTTCTAACTAAAATCTTAACACCACCAGCTCTGTCTCCTGTATTTTAGCAATTAGATTTTAGCATTAAAAATGCTAATTGCCAATACTCGTAATTCAGGGTAGCTGTGACATAAATCGTACATTGGATGGCGGTCTTTCTATCTTAAAGGTGAGATTAAAATCAAACAACACACCCAAGTTTCTAACATCTGATTTTACATGAATTGAAAAGGAACCAAGGACGGACTTTATGCTTGGATGGAGCGTGCCTAAAACAGTGATAACAAATTCAGTTTAATGCTAAGTTTCATTAGCAATGAGAGCCATTAACATTACCAATTAACATATGCAGGACTGACTACCCCAGTGCAATTTTGACTGTTATTATGCCTGTAATACGTGAAACAGATTTTAATTTAATTGCATCACACTGATGATGCAATGATTTTCTGACTGCTGAACTTGACACAATTCAACTTGATTTTTTCTCAGCATTGCCCTGGTCTCCTTACCAGGCCATGTGCTATTTTATCATGCTACCAACTGAGTTGTAGTAATATGACAAGATGTTCACGTTCAGCGTGATCACATGAAGCATACAGTGCATTGTTTAGGTTTTCATGAGTAAGTAAACAAACCTCCTACAGGTATGTGGAAACTTCCTGTAGACAGAAAAGCACTTTTTAATGTTCTTGTTGCATCTTTAAGCTTTAATGATAGCTGCCCTGTTGTGGGGTTCATGGGCCGTAGCACTATCCACCTCATGACTGTGAGTTGAATTCTGAATTCTGCCCTGTAAATATACAGTATACACAAAGACACAACACCTCCCTTAGGCTGCAAAGATTAAACGAGTCTTCGCTGCATACAGTTAAATCAGCACAGCTGGACGAAGACTGTTAGCAGGTTGCTGTATATGTGCACGCACTGTATTCATAATATAGAAAAGTGGGATGTATTCGGCTCCTTATTAAGCTTTCCTCTCGCTGCATTAATCTTCTTTATCCTGCGGTGGCAAAACCATTTCAATACAAACAGGACATTTAAATACCAACTCATAATGAGCGGGAGAGATAAGTGTTTCTCTGACAGAAGTGTACAAACATTTCCACTTTGCACAAAGCCATCAAAGACAAAGTACAAATAAGTAATTGACCCTGTCTCCCTTTTGCCTCTGCGGCTCATGGTTCTGGTAATACTGAGAGCTTAGATATGAGATGAATCTAATTTTGTAATCTCAGACTCAGAAAGCCAAATCCTAAAATAGATTCTCGTGTTTCACTTCTCTGTAAATTGTACGCCACAAGCATTCAGAGATTGCTACAAAGACTTCACACGCTCCTAGTTTGTCTGGGTTAAAAGCTTGTGGAGGAGAGAACAGGGTTGAGAGCGTGATGGAGGAAAGAACAGAAGGTGGGGGCTGGAGGAGAGGCCGTGCTTTAACAAGCTTATCTCGCTCCCTAATGCAGTTTGGGCCATCAAAGCGTTGAGAGGCGGCGACGCTAGGGGCGGCCGTATTTTTTGACCGCTACCTGTGACAGCAATTACTGGTTCCCCTTTAAGCATGCCTTTGTTTGGTGGCAGACTTGAATGCTCGGGTAGAACAAGATTACCTCAATGTTTTGCAACTGCAGCATAATCAAAGCCTCACAATGCCATGCCCCTCTGAATCAACCGAGCTAGGTCTGCCACCATTTCTTTCTGGAGCCTTTATTCAGGAGGTGGCGTGACATTATTTTCATTATAAATTGAGTTGGGTGTTTTTTTAAAGGTATACATCACAGGCAAATATTCCACAACACTTCCACAGCTTCTCTTAGAAACAGCAATGAGAACTGTGGTGCATAAAAAAACGGAGGTGTTGACAAAATTCATTTGGAAGTGCCTCCATAGCACGCTACTGTATTCGCTAGTTGCATACCTGTGCTTCAGGTATTCAGTGAAATAAATGTCCCACTCCCAAACCTTTGTTCTGCTTTCAATAGCTTATCATCTCACATATGTTGGCCGAGTTAATCCCTTTAGAGATAGTGTGGCCTTTTCCTTGGACCTTCGGTGCCATAAAAAACTATTTGCCACCTTCTTGATTTTTTTGTTTTTTACATTTTTGTTACACTTAAATGTTTCAGATCATCAAACAAATGTGAATATTGGACAAAGATAACCAGAGTAAATACAAGGTTCAGGTTTTAAGTGATGATTTCATTTGCAAAGGGAAAACATTATTGTTATGGCCCGTCTAGGGTTAGCCAGACCACAACATAAGGTTGATCCATCCTCGTCAAATCTCAAGCAGCCACATCACACAACTATTAATTAAACTTTAGTAATTAAAATTTGTTTGTTTAAAGATCAAACAAATGAAACAAAAAACTGAGAAACAGGGAAGGAGACAAAAACTTCTTTACTGTAATCCAAACCTGTGTCTGCTTATGTAGCATAGCACACAGCACAGTGTCATCATTTAAAGCCTCTGTAATACCCAGTACTATGATTTGCTGTCATCTCATTTGCATTAACGCTAAGACAAAACTGTCAGGGTTTGGGGTTTAATTGTCATTTTGATTTTGTTAGATCACTTCCCTGCTCTTTCTTTAGAGCTAACTTTCCCCCCTCTGCGTATTCATGTCATTTCTTTCACTTTTATTTTACCAAACTTTCTTTTTGTCTGTTGTTTGGGTTTTTTTTCCCCTTCATTTGCATCTTGCTTACCTGATAGTTTTCTGTGCATTTACAGTCCAGTCCCTTGTTGGTTGTGTCAGCCTTTGTGTGTGATCCTAAGCTGCATTCCTCTATTTTGACACTAGTGGTTTTTTATTGTGTTCCTTGCAAATTTAGCTTTTGGTTTACTTGTTTTCTTTGAACTTTGTTGAACAACCTTCTGGAATTTTTTTATTCCTTTGGCTTGTCATTAAGGCTTAGGTTTTGCAAACTACCTGTCAGCCTCCGGTGTCCTGCATTTGTGTGTGTGTTTGCGTGTGTGAGAGAGAGAGAGGGGTTTTTTTTTCCTAACTCATCACAACAAATAATGCAGTCAACTGGAAAGTGTTTTGTGATGTGCCAAGCTGCACTGCAGGGTTCTGCAACGTGTCAAAACCAGGAGACGGAGTGAAACTAAACCATACCTCATGCGCTAGTTTGTTTGCTTATTTGTTTAATCTACGAGGGGGCCATTGTTTTTTTGTTTTTTTTATCAGAACAGTGTGACACAGTATAAGTTGGCCTGTGACCAGGCCAATTAGTGTGATGCATGGTTGTCTTGGTGTTGTGTACAGCATATTCAGCAAAAGAAAAAACTCTACATACTTACATTTCTCTCATGCACTCGCTGCGCCTCTAAATTTTGCAACTATCTATGGCACAGCAAAATGTCAAGTTGAACCCAGTATTTCATCCTCTATTCATAGCAAATTGGTGCCACGTTGATGTATGTGCTAAGTAGAACAGCTTTACTGTTAAATTTGAGCTATTTTGTGTAAAGGGGGGATCAGCCTAAAGCAGCTTCTTTGATATCACCTACGCAGTGTTGTTATTATGTTAGTTTGCTGTTTATCTAATATAAAATGTCCTCATTTAAATTTGGAAGATGAAAAAACAAAATGTCCTTTTTATAAAAAAAAAAAATGTGTGAATTGCATGTTAAATAACAAGAACAATAAACTTTTTTCTGCTGTTCTACAGAGTTTTCAGGTTTTCATTGTGTTGAAGGGGTCTCACATTACACACCCACTGATTCCTGAGAAAAAACAAACTATTTATTTAGTAATACTGCACTTAAACCTAATAAAGGTATGCATGGCTTTGCTGAGGACTATATCAAAAATTACTTTCAATCCCTTTCACTTAATGGATGCAATATTTATTTAACATAATTATCATGGTGGTAAAATCTCGCCCCAAAAAAGCTTGATTATCATCTCCTTGGTTTAAAGTGTTGCCTGTATCCTGAGATCTTTTTAACTTCATTTTTTGTTTCAGCCCAGCAGTGTTATGTACTTTTCAATATAATAAAGCATAATTGAACATTAAAAAGCCTATAAATGTAACAGTTTGTGTATTTACTGCCTGGAACCCTTGCGCAGTAAATTGTTTGCAACAAATGAGAACCTATTAAAAATTAACCCAAATGGAGCAGTGTGGGTCTCAGAAGCTGCTGCAGCATGCAATTTCTGTTTTGCTGAGGCGAGATTGTGGACTTAGCCTTGTTGTTCAATATTCTGTGAATAATTGAAACTGACTTGACTGGCGCCCGGTGTCTTTATTCAGTAAATCCTCAGATAAAATCGAAAGGAAAAATGCTGACTTAATCCTGAAAACTTAGCATATCTGACACTTTGCTACCTGAGTTTGTTGAGCAATCGAATTTATCATTCTGGTTTTGTCTCTCCTTCTCTCTGCTCCCATCCCTCCTTGGGCTTTGCTCCTCTCAGGTGGACTTGCTTGTGCCAACCAAGGTGACAGGTATCATCACCCAGGGAGCGAAAGACTTCGGCCATGTCCAGTTTGTTGGCTCATATAAAGTCGCTTTCAGTAATGATGGAGACCAGTGGAATGTATATCAAGATGAGAAGCAGGGCAAGGACAAGGTAAGTTGCTTTTATACTACATATTGATTTGATTGTTTTTTATTTTATTTTATTTTATTTGAACGAAGGGTCACACTCAGCCAAACAAACCTGAAGCAGACAAAAACGTAGCAAATATCAAAAAGATGTGTAAATGTGTTATAAGGTGTTAAATTGTGAAAATGTCCATCTTGGAAGCTGTCTGTTTCTCCTTTCCATTTCCTCTTAGCATCTTCTTATCAGCGTCTCAAACTGAGCTGTCCTGGTCTGTGCTATTGCCTTTCTCTGGTTTGAGATCAGATAAGACCACCCTGTCAACCTGCCCAGGCCGGTGCTATGCTGAAAATCTTGTTTACGGTCCTTCAGCAGAGTACAAATGTCCATTCCAATCGCCCACAACAACAGAGACAGTGCAGAGCTGCAGCGGACTCTTTTGTTGATATCAGGGAACCTGCAGACACAGGCTAACAGCTAAAGCTGGAGCGTCTTGTCTTTCAGATACTGATTGCAAGAGAATCTGTGTTTACTTTTCGATCTTGCTGTGCTATTGAAAGATAAGGACTACCTCTTCATTCTAATTCATCCAATGCTGATGTGTCAAATTTAAGAAGCCAAATACGCTTAGCATGAAACAGCTTTGGGATAATATACTGTATACTTTGTTTATTCTCCAGTCTAACTTAAATCCATTTAGGCTTTGTAGATAATTTCAAAATATTTAACATTTTAAAATAGTTACAATAGTTAAAATAGTTTTCAACTGGAGATGACGTTTGTATTAATAAATAACTGACTCTTAACTATTAATGAAACAAAGTCCAGCTGTTAAAATTTGTGAAGTTGGCTTTGTCAGAACAGCCCTACCTTAGTTCTTATTTTTATGCATATTTATCACACATTTCACATCATCAAACTAATTTTGATATTAGACAAAGATAACTGGAGTAAATGCAAAATGCAGATTTTAAATGATTATTTCATTTATAAAGGAGAAACCAATCTGCCTCTATGCAAGCAAGTAATTGTCCCTCTTTGATAAATCATGAATTAACTGTGATTAACCATGTTTTTGCTTAGCTAAGTTCCATGTCATTAACCACACCCAGGCCTGAAAAAGAAATATATCATGCCATGATCTAAAGAAACAGCTGAGAAATAACCATTTCCAGACTGACATCTATCAGTCTGGAAATGGTTACAAAGCAATTTCGGGGACTTTGGGACTCCAGCGAACCACAGTGAGAGTCATTATCCAAAAATGGAGAAAAGTTAAAACAGTGGTGAACCTTCCGAGGAGTGGCCGGCCTACCAAAATTACTCCAAGAGCGCATCAATGACTCATCCAGGAGGTCACAAAAGAACCCAAAACAACATCTAAAGAACTGCAAGCTTCACTTGTCTCAGTTAAGGTCAAAGTTCATGATTCAACAGTGAGAAAAAGACTGGGCAAAAATGGCATCCATGGGAGAGTTTAAAGAGAAAACCACTGCTGACTTAAAATAACGCAAATGCTCATCTCACATTTACCAAAAACATCTTTGATCTAAAAACATGTGGGAAAAGATTCTGTGGACTGATGAGACAAAAGCTAAACTTTTTGGACGGTTTGAGTCTTGTTGCATCTGGTGTAAAACTAACGCAGCATTTTATAAAAAGAACATCATAGTCTGATGGTCTGGGGCTGCTTTGTCGCTTCAGGAAATGGAAGACTTGTCGCGATTGATAGAGCCATGAATTCTGCCCTCTACCAGAAAATCCTGGAAGAAATTAGGTATCAGTTCATTCCCTGCATAACTTGGGTTATGCAGCAGGATAGTGATCC